GGCATATTGGTGCAAAAGACAAGGCTGTTGCATTTGCATCACCTTCAGCCAGACATACCACATGGATAATCTATAGTAGCCTCCTGAACTCCCCCACAGATGCCAGCCTTCAAACAGTTTGATTCACTCTATATGATATCAAGAAATGGTTGATGACACTGGATTCTGGCAATTGTAATGAGGATTTGTGCTCCTGAATAAGATGCCTAGCTAAGCTATTCCTGGGTAGCTACAAAACTGTTGTCTACTCAATCATGCGGAAAATTGCTCAGATACATGCTGTCAACAAAAAAAGGACAAATCTGATTCCAGCAATTGTCACCCCATCAGTCTAGCCCCAAACAACAGTAAAGTGATGGAAGGGAGCTTCAGCAGCTTGCATACACATGCTTGGGTTCCACAAAGGCCACTCAACTTCAGGCGTTATTACAACTTTAGTGCAAATATGGACAGGAGAGCTGAACTTCAGAGGTGAAGTGAGAGTGACTGTCTTGATGTCAAGGCTGCATTTAACCAAATATGGCATCAAGGACCCCAACAAAAATTGGAGTACATGGAAATATGGGAAAAAACACTCTACTGGTTGGAATCATATTTAGCATACAGGAAGGTGATTGTAGTTGTTGGACATCAATGATCTCAGCTCCAGAACATCTCTGCAGGAGTTCCTCAGGATAGTGTCCTCGGTCCAACCGTCTTCAGCTGCTCCATCAATGACCTTTCCTCCATTAAAGGGTTAAAAGTGGCAATGTTTGTTGGTGATTGCACAATGTTCACTCCTGTTTATTAAACTTATCAAAACTTTCTTACGAGGAAACGTTGAGAGAGCAAGGGCTTTTCTCTTTAGAACGACGAAGGATGAGAGGTGACTTGATAGAGGTATACAAAACGATCAGAGGTATAGAAAGAGTGGACAGCCAGAGACTTTTTCCTAGGGTGGAGGTAGCTATTATGAGGGGGCATAGTTTTAAAGTGAGTGGAGGTAGATATAGGGGAGACGTCATAGGTAGGTTCTTTACTCAGAGAGTGGTCGGGGCATGAAATGCATTGCCGGAGAGGGTAGTGGAGTCGGCCTCATTAGGGGCATTTACGCGGCTATTAGATAGGCATATGGATGATAGTATAAGGTAGGGGTGGAGGTAAGATAGACCTGAGGATTAGGGTAAAAGTTTGGCACAACATCGTGGGCCGAAGGGCCTGTACTGTGCTGTACTGTTCTATGTTCTATGTTCTAAAACTCTAATCACTCTTCTTCAGTGCATATTAAAATAATAATGGTTTTAGATAGATGAATTCCTTACAATTGTTTTAAATCTTACAATATTACGAATCAGATTGTCGGAAAAACATCAACTACTCTAAAGTATCGTCTGACTAGAACTAATTCAATTCATTCCAATGCTCACAAAATGTCAGTGTTTGTTGACTCCATCTAACGCATAGCTACATAGTTGGTAAAGTGTCATTCTCCACCAAAACCTCAGGGCTGAATGCAATATTTGGGGAAGGCAGTAAATCCACTTGTAGTCATTTCTGTTCATTGTAAATATTTGGGCAGCCTGTCCAGAACCTGTTTGAGAAAACAAATTTACATTCTTAAATATATTTTCTGTAATTGTGCTGATCAATTGAATACACAATCCTTTTTTTGTTGCACTGTTTTGTAAATTACCTTTCTGCTTATTCAACATTGAGCTGAAATTTCCTCCAAGTTATTGTATGGAAGATTGAAGCCCTTGTTTTTGTTTCCTGCTTTCAAACTCTGTTCCCTAGATACTAGCTCTGTCCTTTTTCTCTTCCAAGCACATATTTCTGTCTTCACTAACAGTGCCTATTTTCACTTCTATAACATTAGTCAACGTTGACCCTGTTTCAGTTGATCTGCCACTGAAAGCCTCATTCGTTCATTATCTTTAGCATCACCTCTTCCGATACACTCATGGCTGGTCTGCCACATTCCACTGACTGTAAACCTAAAGTCATCCAAAACTCTACTACAGCAAGTTCCGTTCACCAGTTGTGTCGTGCTTGCTGACTGAAATTGACCCCAGACAAACAACACCTTCATTTTAATTTTCTAAATTTGGATTCAAATTTCTCTACAGACTCATCACTTGTAATGATTCTCATCTCCTCAAGCACTGCAAGCACCAGGGATACCCAACTCTTTTCATTCCAGTCCCTTCTGCATTTTCCGACATTATTGCTCCACCACTGGTGGCTGTTGTTTAGACCTCAAGTGCTGGCATCACTTCCCCACACCTGTCCATTCTCTACCTTGCCTACCTCCTTCAAATACATTATAACATCTACCTGTTTGCCTAATTTGCTTGGTCATCTGACTTAATATTTCCTTATATCGGTTGGTTTTCTGTTTGTTATAGTCCCCCGGAAAGCATTTGGGACTAATCTTACTTTGTCTCATTTTAAAAGTGCGAAACAAATATAAGTTGTTGTTATTGATTTTTTTATGTTCACATGATATTACGTTACATTCTTGTTGAAATTGATTTTTGACTTGGTTCCATTCCAAAAATTCTTATTTATTTCTTTGTATGGAAAGTCAACAGTTTCCGGTTTTAAACATTCTTTTGTGAATTCTACCTTCCCTGGCTTCCTCCTACTTTGAAGATCTCGATGTGTTCTTCTATACCACTCATCTCAGTCTTTTCGTTCCCTAAATTGTGTTGGAGCTCAAAACTTGCTTTACATTTTTCTATGACACATTACCAGTATTCTTGGTTTTAAATTCTACATTCAAGCAATGTTTTGATTCATCAGCAATTCTTTTTCATGTTATTTTCAAGGTATTTTTCACAATGCTTGATAGAAACTTCTGATACTTGCAATTCATCAAGTTTTAATTGAAGATCTATCACAATGGAGTTTGCTTCAGCCCTCATTCAAGTGTCCTAGTTCCAGTGATCGACACTGAATTATTCTCACCAGTTCTCGGTTTTCATTAGCAAACTTATTTATTGTTGGCAAAGGTTGGATCTCCACATTGATCAATTTTTCGTTCAATAGCTCATTATTGACAATAGGCTTTTTGTGTTTGGCCACGGTAATTTTGGGAATTTGACAAGCTCAACATAATCAAGGAACTGCTTGATGTTGTTCTCTCGGCTATCATTTTTAAAGACTAGAGCTGCTTCTGCTTTCTTCAGAAAAGTTGTAGCAACTGAGTCATTTTCAACAAATACCATAAATTTCATCATAAAATCCTGTTTATTTACTTTCACTGCAGTTCAACTGAATCATCTTTTTCTACAGGTTTGAAAATCCTACTTGGCCTTAAGGATTCTATAATCTTATGAAGGCATGTGGACTTTTTTTTAGATCTTGCTACAGCCTATTGATGATCCCAGTTATGAAAAGACTCGACAAGCCAGATCTTTCAGATCAGGCTTGGTAGACCATAATATTTTAAAGAACTGAATGTGTGGAAGAACCTATGGTAAGGAAATAAATGGCAGGTTTCCACAGTTAAGTTGACATACAGAACAATTTATTATACAAATTTGAACAAAACAAACATAAACAATAATAACTAAATAAGTATACTGAATATTTGAGATAATAATTCTTAACCATATGTATTATGTATATAACTTATAAGCAATCTGTTAATAGGAGGTAAATACGTGTTAACATATAAATGTGGTCAAATACTTTGCCAACTCTATTTCAGTTAGTCAATGTGGTCAAGATAGATCCCACACTGAGCCACTAAAACTAATTAAAATCTATTTCCTTTGCGAGGAATTCCAAGTCTGCACTTTTAATGGTTTAGGTTTGGAATACTCTTAAAACCTCTCTCACTGGGACTGCCTCAATGGTCGCTCACATGTTGGTCGTTAGATCTCCTCTCGTGAAACTGAATTCTCCAGCAGTTCTGAGATTGCTTACAAGCATCTAATTACTGGAAGATTTCCATCTTTTATAAAGTAGCTCATATCGTCAAGTCGCCGCTGAATTTCTCTTAGCATCAGGCCTCCTCCGATGAATCAAGCCAATGTTACTTATGCGCTTCCTTCACCCCACTCTCAACTATGGTGAGCTATCAATGGCTTCGAAGACTTCTATTCAACCCTAACCTTTTTTGCACCATGGAATCATCATTTCATGAGACTCCTCCTAATTGCCTGGGATGTACTAACAGCACTAGGAGGCATTATTTCAGCTTTGGGTAAGTACAACCAAGCCCTCTGCCAATGAACACAAGACAAATTGAAAATAGCTTTGAGAGAATGCCTTTCTCCACGCCCCCTTAATTGGACAGGGAGACTGTCTCCATACCAATTAATGGGCTACCTCTGCGAAAATCTTAAACCCGTGACTATTTCTCCTCAGGGTAGTTTTCAATGTCCTGTGAAAATGTCCTGACTCCTGATTCCTGGCCCTGAAGATGAAGGTTACTCAATATTTATACCTACCATGATGGTCTCAAAATACAGTATAATATTAAATGCAGTGAATGTTCAGTTTCAAATATAAAGGTTCAGCGTTTCTTGAAAATTTGCAAAATGATATCCTTTAGTGTTGCCTTTTTGCAGCAAAATAAAATTCCATGTGTAAATGAAAACCATCTTATTAATGGATGTGAGAGTCTCCCAGCCACAACATCATGGAAGGAGATTGGATTTTATCCACAGTTTCTATAGAATGATGAAATTACACTGTAGTATTCCAGTGGAACATTAGGTAATGTCAGCCAATTGAGAGCAAAGTTTGGCCTCGATGTTGTTCAGACTAAGAGCTTTTATGCTAGACTCAGGAACCCTGTGTATTTCCAAATCTTTTCCAACACATTTTTTTTTTTATCCTTTGATGCATCAAAATTGTTTAAAACATTTTTACATTCTGTATTCATCTAAGTTATCACAAAGAAACAGATTTTAAATAACTCAGCAACCTATCTTGTTAATTGATAGGCTCTTTCTTGTGCCTTCTCCTTTAAGTACAGTGTATAATAACCATTTCTAATGATGCTTGCTCAGATCAGATGGACGAAAACAGCAGGAAGTGCCTCTGACAGGTTCCACGACAACAGTGTCTTCAATGAGACCCTGAGGATCACAAAAATCCAGCGTCACCAGGGAGGCCGTTACTACTGCAAGGCTGACAATGGCTTGAGTACCCCTGCAATCAAATCCATCAGAGTAGATGTATACTGTAAGTAATCCGTGTCACGTTGTCACTTCTCAGGCACTAGATAAAACACAGATACAAATGTGGAAATGTTTAGGATTACTTTGCATATTTGTGACAATTCTGGTGAAGTAGCTTCAATCATGAAAGGACAGAAACCGTACAGAGAAAATGAAGAGGTACAAGAGAAAACCATAAGTCGATTGACTGTGTTGCTGACTAATCTACTGCTCTGTCTCATGCTGCTGGATGTGCTGCTGTACAGAGACACTCCTGGGACATGAAGAGAAGTGTTATATAGGGGATAGTATCTAATGTTGCTACGCAGTATACACCAGGGGTTTGAAATGAGGTCATTCTTTGTGAGAGGAGTATTAGAACTAGGAGCTTGTTTGTATTTGGGCAGCTAGTTTGGATTTAGACTTTAATAAAGGTTGAAACTACTTAGGAATCAAAGCAAGAAAGACTGTAGAAGCTAAAAGTAAACACAGAATATTGGAAATGCTCAGAAATTCTGATTCTATAGTGTATGGACTGCAGCTGTTCAAGAAGATAGCTAACCACCACCTTCTTTAGGAGAACAAGGAACATACAATATATGCTGACCCAGCCAGCAATGCCCATGTCCAATCAGTGAATAAAAAAAATTAATTGACTCATTGGACGTGGGCATTGCTGGGCCCGGGCCAGCACAAGTTTCACATCCCTTGTTGTCCCTCAATATGTGTTGAGTGGAAGATTTGGACATTTGTTTCTTTTACTTCTTAACAATTTGTTAATTGAAAATATGCAATCTGAAAACATTTTGAGTACAGTGACCTGGCTGGAACACTGCCAGGACTGCTGCTTTGAACATACGTGCCCTGACCAAAATACAGCCAACTGATACCTGTTCTAAGATAACAAGGTGTAGGGCTGGATGAACACAGCAGGCCAAGCAGCATCATAGGAGCAGGAAGGCTGACGTTTCGGGTCTAGACCCTTCATCAGAAATGGGGGACGGGAAGGGGGTTCTGAAATAAATAGGGAGAGAAGTGGAGCCGGATAGAAGATGGATAGAGGAGAAAATAGGTGGAGAGGAAACAGACAGGTCAAAGAGGCGGGGATGGAGCCAGTAAAGGTGAGTGTAGGTGGGGAGGTAGGGAGGAGATAGGTCAGTCCAGGAAGGACGGACAGGTCAAGGGGGCAGGATGAGGTTAGTAGGTAGGAGATGGGGGTGCGGCTTGAGGTGGGAGGAGGGGATAGGTGGGAGGAAGAACAGGTTAGGGAGGCGGGGACGAGCTGGGCTGGTTTTGGGATGCGGTAGGGGGAGGGGAGATTTTGAAGCTTGTGAAATCCACGTTGATACCATTGGGCTGCAGGGTTCCCAAGCGGAATATGAGTTGCTGTTCCTGCAACCTTCGGGTAGCATCGTTGTGGCACTGCAGGAGGCCCAGGATGGACATGTCGTTTGAGGAATGGGAGGGGGAGTTAAAATGATTTGCGACTGGGAGGTGCAGTTGTTTATTGCGAACCGAGTGTAGGTGTTCTGCAAAGCGGTCCCTAAGCCTCTGCTTGGTTTCCCCGATGTAGAGGAGGCCACAGCGGGAACAGCGGATGCAGTATACCACATTAGCAGATGTGCAGGTGAACATCTGCTTGATGTGGAAAGTCTTCTTGGGGCGTGGGTTGGGGGATGAGGGAGGAGGTGTAGGGGCAGGTATAGCACTTCCTGCTGTTGCAGGGAAAAGTGCCGGGTGTGGTGAGGCTGGAGGGGAGTGTGGAGCGGACAATGGAGTCACGGAGAGAGTGGTCCCTCCGGAAAGCAGATAAGGGTGGGGAGGGAAAAATGTCTTTGGTAGTGGGGTCGGATTGCAGATGGCGAAAGTGTCGGAGGATGATGCGTTGGATCCGGAGGTTGGTGAGGTGGTACATGAGGACGATGGGGATTCTTTTTTGGTTGTTATTGCGGGGATGGGGTGTGAGGGATGATTTGCGGGAAATGCGGGAGACACGGTTGAGGGCGTTCTCAACCACTGAGGGGGGGAAGTTGTGGTCCTTGAAAAACGAGGACATCTGAGATGTACGGGAGTGGAATGCCTCATCCTGGGAGCAGATGCGGCGGAGAAGAAGGAATTGGGAATAGGGGATGGCATTTTTGCAGGAAGGTGGGTGGGAGGAGGTGTATTCTAGGTAGCTGTGGGAGTCGGTGGGCTTGAAATGGATATCGGTTTCGAGGTGGTTGCCTGAGATGGAGACAGAGAGGTCCAGGAAGGGGAGAGAGGTATTAGAGATGGTCCAGGTGAACTTAAGGTTGGGGTGGAAGGTGTTGGTGAAGTGGATGAACTGTTCGAGATCCTCGTGGGAGCACGAGGCGGCGCCGATACAGTCATCAATGTAACGGAGGAAGAGGTGGGGTTTAGGGCCAGTGTAGGTACGGAAGAGGGATTGTTCCATGTAACCTACAAAGAGGCAGGCATAGCTTGGGCTCCACCGTGTCTCCCGCATTTCCCGCAACTCATCCCTCACATCCCGTCCCCGCAATAACAATCAAAAAAGAATCCCCCTCGTCCTCACTTACCACCCCACCAACCTCCGGATCCAACGCATCATCCTCCAACACTTCCGCCATCTGCAATCCGACCCCACCACCAAAGACATTTTTCCCTTATCTGCTTTCCGGAGGGACCACTCTCTCCATGACTCCCTTGTCCGCTCCACACTCCCCTCCAGCCCCACCACACCCGGCACTTTTCCCTGCAAGTGCAGGAAGTGCTACACCTGCCTCCACACCTCCTCCCTCCAGCCCCATCCCAGGCCCCAAGAAGACTTTCCACATCAAGCAGATGTTCACCTGTACATCTGCTAATGTGGTATACTGCATTCGCTGTACCCGGTGTGGCTTCCTCTACATCGGGGAAACTAAGCGGAGGCTTGGGGACCGCTTTGCAGAACACCTACGCTCGGTTCGCATTAAACAACTGCAACTCCCAGTGGCGAACCATTTCAACTCCCCCCCCAATTCCTCAGATGACATGTCCATCCTGGGCCTCCTGCAGTGCCACAACGATGCCACCCGTATGTTGCAGGAACAGCAACTCATATTCCGCTTGGGAACCCTGTAGCCCAATGGTATCAATGTGGATTTCACAAGCTTCAAAATCTCCCCTCCCCTACCGCATCCCAAAACCAGCCCAGCTTGTCCCCGCCTCCCTAACCTGTTCTTCCTCCCACCTATCCCCTCCTCCCACCTCAAGCCGCACCTCCATCTCCTACCTACTAACCTCATCCCGCCCCCTTGACCTGTCCGTCCTCCCTGGACTGACCTATCCCCTTCCTAACTCCCTACCTCCACTCACCTTTCCTGGCCCCATCCCCGCCTCTTCGACCTGTTTGTTTCCTCTCCACCTATCCTCTCCTCTATCCCTCTTCTATCCGCCTCCCACTCTCTCCCTATTTATTTCAAAACCCCCTTCCCCTCCCCCATTTCTGATGAAGAGTCTAGGCCCGAAACGTCAGCCTCTCTGCTCCTATGATGCTGCTTGGTCTGCTGTGTTCATCCAGCCCTGCACCTTGTTATCTCAGATTCTCCAGCATCTGCAGTTCCTACTATCTCTGATACCTGTTCTACCAGTTTATCTGAAACAGTAGGAATCGCTTTAAGTATAGCAACATTTTAAAGGAAAATGCTTGTCTCCATGGTAGCTTGTTGAATGTTGGAGCTACATTGTGCTGTAAAATGTTACTGGTATTTAATTGCTTGAGGTTCAACATTCATCATCAATAACGTTAGAAGTGCAGAATCAATGATAGCATTTTCTGAATTTCTGCATTATTCTGTTCATGTACAGACTCCCTGTTGTTCATTTTTGTAGTGTCATAACCATAATACTGGCAGCTTTACTATTGTTCTCCTCTGCAAAACTGGCCCAAAACAAACTCTTCACACTTTTCTACTCCAATGAAAATTGACCCAATATTTGGAATCCCTTTTCAGAACTATACTTTATTATCTCTGTCATTGTTCTGATGAATCAACCATGCTGCATAATGTTAGTGTTATTCCAAAAGTAGCCAAAGCTGCATTCACTCTATTCATAGCATGAGTAATGTTTTGAACAAATGTATCAGGACTTCTGCACTGCAATATTTTAGTTATATTTTAGCACAATATTATTCTTTTTGTTCATCCATGTCAGTATGTAATTCGTATAAGAGGATGCTAAATATCTAGGAGACGTGTTTTGAGAACGACTGAATTAATCGTATTGAAATTTATAAGGGCTCTTGTCGTCCTACCTCTGAGCCAAAATGCCTAATTTCAGGTCCCACCTGCCCTATACCATTCAGCTTTTTTCATTGAATGCAAAATATAATGTTTTGATTTTCCACTCACACTTATCGCCATTGAATTATAGCCATTAGGGTGTCCATGCTTTCCTGAAGATTTTGGCTGTTTGCCTAATTTTGTGCATTTAACAAATTTTGAGATTGTGCTCTCTTTATTCAAGTCCAAAGCATCCAACTATTCATGAATGCGCCAAGCTGGACTCAGCCTTGACACTTGACTAACATTACTTTACCATTCCATAATGTAAGCATTTAAAATGTAATATTTAACTTAACTTTTGCTTCTGATTTGTAAATCTGCTTTTAATCCGTGAATTAATATTCCTCTCAAAACATAAGTCTGATTTTTTTTTAACAAGTCTCTTGTGGACCACTTCCATGTTTTGAATATCCATATATTTACTTAATTCCTTTCAGCCACATAGTCATTCCTGTAGTAAGCTTTCAATAGATTTCTTTCAAATATGAGAACATAAATTGGAGTAAAAGCGGACCATATAACCTTTGATTGTTCTGCAATTCACGATAATCGTAGAAGATTATTTACCTCAACTCCACTCTCCCATATGCTCTCCATCCCCTGAAAGATCAAACTTCTGTCAGTCTTGAATGAGTTAAATGATGGAATATCCACAACTAGTTAACTATTTCAAAGATTCACAACCCTCTGAGTGGAGATATTTCTGTTCAGTCCA